AGCTTGGATCTGGATTCTCATCTTCTGACTCCAGATTCAGTGTGCTTACCAATGCATCACACATTTGATTAAGTGATCTGTAATGCTGAAGATAAGTATTATGGTAGTCATTTATTTGTTGATTTATTAAGCCCTTATCACATGTCAGGCAGCTTATCAGGCACTAGAAATACCAGTACAAAGAATGAAACAATTCCTCCTTGCAAAAAGCTTCTAATGGAGAAGATGAATTACAAAATAAACATATACAGTATAAATATTCAATGAATAAAGATTAATATATACAACATATACAAGGTGGGAGGGAGGGCACTATAGAAGAGCAAATAGGAAAGGCTTCATGTAAGAGATAGTGCTTGTACTGCAACTTAATGGAAGAGATGGACTCTGAAAAAGAGGTACCACCTGAAAATTTACTATTTTTTACTAACATCTGAGGGTAACATGATCAGTCTTTAAAGGACAAATGTTAACGCAAAGCTCAAATACTTTTGCAAAATTACATCAGCATATTAGAGGAATGGAACTATGTATACTTTGAATGAATGAATAAAAGTTAACATTTATATAGCACTTACTATGTGCCAGGCAACATGTTAAGTGCTTTATAATTACTGTCTCATTTGATCCTTACGACAACTCTGGGAGGTAAGTTCTCTTATCCTCATTTTACAGATTGAGGCAAACAGAGTCTAATTAACATGCCCAGGGTCACATAGCTAGTAACAGTCTGAGGCTGGATTTGATTTCAGGTCTTCCTGACTCCAGGCTCAGCACTCTATCTATCCACTGAGATAAAAACAGTAGAACATTGATGACACTGTCATTCAGGGGTGGAATTAGAACTTGGATAAAAGATTAATATTGTGGGAAGCTATGATGCTTTAGGGAATGATTCCCCTATAACCTGTAGGAAAAAAAAAAAACTGTGTTACAGTGAAGTTCTGGTACATTTTTAAGCTAACTTCTTGTTCACTTGAGACAGTAAGTAGCTTGCATAAAATATAATTCAACTTTATTTCAAAATGTATCAGTATTGTCTCATGCCTGCTTCTTATAATAATAATAACTTGCACTTATAAAGTGCTTTGGGATTTATAAAGTGCCATCCTTACCTGTAACCTCGTGAAGTACATAGTATAAGAATGATCATATCCATTTTATAGGTGAGGAAAGGAAGTTTAGAAAAGTTAAGTGAATTGTTCACAGTCACACAGCTAGTAAATTTCAGAGGTGAGATTCAAACCCAGATCTGCCTCCAAGTCCAACAGTCTCCAAATCCAGTCGGTACCTAGTTGCTTAAACATTGTCTCCCTCATTAAAGCCATGAGATCCTTGAGAGCAGGGACTGTTTTTTGCCTTTCTTTATATATCCAGAGCTTAGCACAGTGCCTGCCACATAGCAGGCACTTAAATATGCTAGTTAACCTATTGCCAGGTATATACACACACAATAGAAAACAACAGCAGGCAAAGAAAGAGTTTAGGAAAACAATTTGTTTATACTTTAGGCTATCTTTGTAACTTTGGTGGAATAATAGAATTGTCAGTCTTTAGAGATCATCTTGACCACTCCCCTCCCCATTTTACTGGTTAGGAAACTGAGGTCCAGATGGGGGAAGTGACAACTGAAGCCACACTGAGAGTTTCTTTTGCTGATACTGATTTATACGATTAAACAGAAAAAGAAACCGACTCCCATGGAGTACATACAACCAAATACATACGGATGGCAAGAGCATGGTGACTTAAAAACAGCAGAAAAATTTAACTTGAGCAGCATGTGGCATTTCCCTTTGTCTGTTACTAGCGGCCCACATAAAATGTGCTTTAAAACGCCCTGCCACTTCTTTCATATTACATTTTAAAGCCTTTAAATAGTTACTTTGAATATATGGCACTGGGCATTTCTCCCATTTGGGGGCTGGTACCTCACCTGGCAGGATAATAGCCTTCTATTACTACTAATAACCTAGATGGCTTAGTAGATAGAGCACAGGTGTCAGGCCTATAGTCAGGAATACCTGAATTCAAATCCAGCTTCAGATACTAGCTGGGCAAGTCATTTAACTTCTGTTTGCCTGTTTTCTCATCTGTAAAATGGGGTTAATAATATCACCTACCTCCCAGGGTTGGTGTGAGGATGAAATGGGATAATAATTGTAGAACCCAGGCACTGGGTTAAGTGCTATATAAATGTTAGTTATTATTATTATTACTAATATTATTTCTATTGGTGGGTGGACGATGGAAGTTTAGTTGTATGTAGTTGGTTTGCTGTGTGATATATTTCAACTTTGCACTTATGAGACTACCTAAGTAGTATAGCAAGAACAAATTGCTGGGGTGGGTCTGTGAAATAATTTGTGGAAATGGGATAGTTTTCATAATGTCAGCTAAATGTGAAGACCTCAAAGGCTCTGCAAATAGCAATTACTTCCCGCCTTCATCCTTCAAACTGCTGTTTAGGCTCAGGACCCATGGGGATTTGTTTTTCTTCAATCTGGGGATTCCTGTGTCTCGTGTCATCTTTCAGAAGATGGCTTTCTGAGAATTGTTCTAATCATGTTTTTGCCACACTAATTCTGAAAGGGTTGATGTGCTCTGTGCTCATATTCCCTCTGCACTAAAATGAAAAATTCCCATAAATGCAGCCAGTTCATAAATAGGTAAAAGAGTCCTCCTCAAACATGCTTAACTGCACCCTGCTGTCAAGTGTGCCTAATATGCAACCCAGAAAACGCTTCCAGTTGAGATAACTCTTCTAAGAAGGTTTAAACAACTTTTTAGGATTCAAATTGGAAAAGCCACAACAAACAATCCTGGCAAAGTGAAATGGTCAGTTATCAGTACCACGATACAATCGAGAAGTATTACATTGTCTTGGGTAACTCAGAAACAGATCTCAATTATCTGGAAAACTGCTTCCATTCTTAACTCGATCAGAGCAAGCATGACCTTACTGACCACATGGTCGTTATTATGTTATTAATTAATTCCCTAACCTCGAAAAATTTTTAGAAGGTGAATATTAACCTTAATGGTCTTTACACCATAGGGTTCTTTCTCCTAAACTTGCTTACCATTACCTCTTTTTAAAATTATTTTCTTTCCAATTAACAAGCACTTATTTTCTCTCCCTCCAAATTTTCTCCCCCCCTCCTAATATACCAAGATAAGCTCCAAATGTATATGTGCCTTATATATAAAAGGCCACATCATTTAGAGGAGCAGTGAAGAAATCACCTTTCAGATCTATTGATAGGGGAAGAGTTCATGACTAAACAAGGGAGGGAGAGGATCAGAAGACAAAATGGACAATTCTAATTAGATAAAATTTAAAAAGTTTTTGCACAAATAAAACCAGTGCATTCATCAGTCTTCATTACAAGCCTGGATGTATATAGTATAAATATAATGCATGTAGTAAGGATTTGTAGAATTTACTTCAATTTCCATACCGTCCCGGAAATCCTCTGGAGAGGGTGATCTGTAATCTGACACATGCCACATCTCATCTGAGGCTGCTCTGCCTTTGCTACAGGCGTGTGTATATTCGCCTAGGGCTCCTACGATTCCTTCAGGCGGAGCCATGGTAGGGGTGAGAAAAGGGAGGAGAAGAGGGGTGACAGTGGGGCTTGTTGCTCTGAAGATTTACAATGCACTTCTTGCAGGCTGCTCAGCAACCCCCTCTGGAGCTGTGGGTGTCTTGTGTGACAGAGCGGAGAAAAGCTCTCTAATCTCTCTGTGCTGCTCAGTTCCCCTCCTCCCCCCTTTTCTCCCTCTCCTTTGCCTTTCTCGGGGAGTTTCAGTCACTGAATGCAGCCTGGGTAGCCTTTGCAATCTACTCTGGGCGCGTGTATATGCACACACACGCACACACACGCACACACACACACACACACACACACACACACACACACACACACGCACTGTCTCTCCCCACGGGGATATATACTGGAAGGGAACCCAGAGCATCACCTACCTGAAGGTGCAGGCTGCCTGGACACTTCTTGTTCACTTGCCATCTCTGGAGGGAAGACACATCGGAGCCAGAGATAGCAGCTGTGCGATCCTCAAGCCCAAGCCGCTTGCCAGCTGCGGCCAAGGTGCTGGAGGAAAAGAGAACGAATAGAACAGCGAGAAGGGGGGACTCCCTCCCAGGCACTGCCGTCACCCCGCGCCCTCCTTGCCTCCCAAGCTGTGCGGAGCTTGGCTCGGGCTCTGCCCGCCGCTGCTGCTGCCGCCGAGCTGATCCATCCTACCACGAGCGCTGAGAACCACTGCGGGAGGTGGAGTCGGAGACCGCGGGAGCTCTAACTTCCCCAGCCTGACTCCACCTCGGTCCCTCTGCAGGCTGTTTTCTCTCCTGTTCTTCGCCACTGGCAGACGCTCTGCGAAGCTCCCGCGGAAAAGGAGGCTAGAGAGCGCTGCTGTGTGGAAGATGCGGGAGTCAGCCCGGTGGAAGAGGGGCGGGGGCAGCAAGTGCTGAAGAGTCCTGGCCGTCCAGCCGGCGGCGGCGCCGGCGGCGGCGGCGGGCACGGAGGCGCAGCTGGAGAAGTAGAGGGCGCGCTCGAGGTGGGGTGGACCGGCGAGGGGGCACCACAGCTTCTCCAAGTTGGGCTTGTCCCGGAGCCTTTTGGGGCCAAGAGTGCAAGGAGAGATGCGGCAACTGAGCGGGAGCGCGGACGCCGTGGGGTGCTCCTGCCCGTGCCCCCCCTGAAAGCTCCTGGGGTCAGCGAGCCCCGGATCGAGTCCCACTCCCCAGCCTTTCAGTCGTGCGCCCCGGGCCCCCCGGCGTTCCCTCTGATGTCTGTGCTCCTGGTGGCAGCCGACGCTGCGGCTGCGGCCGGCCCGCAGGAGGTGCCCGAGGGAGCCGAGGAGGGGGAGGCCGTGTGATGGCCCTGGACGGAGAGCGGGAGCAAGAAGAAGAGAAGAGAAAGAAGAAGAAGAAAAAGAAGCGGAGGAAGAAGAAGGAGGGGGCCGAGAAGAACAGCGTGCCCTTCAGCCCCATGATGATCGAGGACGACTCGGCGCTCCGGACCGGCGGCAGGGGGCTCTCGGGCCAGTGGGCGGACTCCGTGGGGGTGCGGCCCCGCACCACCGAGCGCCACATCACCGTGCACAAGCGGCTGGTGCTCGGCTTCGCCGTGTCCATCCTGGCGCTGCTGGTGGTGACTATGATCGCAGTGCTCCTCAGCTTGCGCTTCGAGGAGTGCGGAGCAAGCGCCGCAGCGGCCGCCGCGGGGGCCGAGGCAGATGGCGCTGCTGGGGGTGCCCCGGCTCGGACCAGCAGCAACAGCAGCGTAGCAGGCTCGTCCCACCGGCCTGGAGGGGAGCCCGGGAGGCCGGGGGCTCCCGGGGGCGTCGCGCCTGGGAGCCCTGCAGCCAAGGAGCCGTCGGAAGAGGAGGAGCAGGGACGCCGGCAGCCCTGGACTCAGCTGCGCCTGCCTGGTCACCTGAAACCCCTGCATTACAACCTGATGCTGACCGTCTTCATGGAGAACTTTACTTTCTCTGGGGAGGTCAACGTGGAGGTGGCGTGCCTCAACGCCACCCGCTATATCGTGCTGCACGCCTCCAGGGTGGTGGTGGAGAGGGTGCAGGTGGCGGAGGATCGCGCCTTCGGGGCGGTGCAGGTCGCCCGTTATTTCCTGTACCCCCAAAACCAGGTCTTCGTGGTGGTGCTCAACCGGACCCTGGAGGCGCAGAGGAATTACAATCTCAAAATCATTTACAACGCCTTTATCGAGAATGAGCTGCTGGGCTTCTTCCGCAGCTCCTACGTGCTTCACGGGGAGAGAAGGTACGGGGAAAGACACAGAGAGGGAGAGGGAGAGGGAGAGGGAGAGGGAGAGAGAGAGAGAGAGAGGGAGGGAGGGAGAGAGAGAGAGAGAAACAGAGAGAGAGACAGAGACAGAGACAGAGAGAGAGAGACAGAGAGAGACAGAGAGACAGAGAGAGAGAGACAGAGAGAGACAGAGAGAGAGAGAGACAGAGAGAGAGAGAGAGAGAGAGAAAAGGAGGGAGGCCGGTCCCCCTGAGCTGCCCCACCCCGTGCAGATAGACCCTGCTGTTTTTTGTCACCCCTAACATCAGCTAGCTCTTCTTGACCCTTGGGGAAGGTAAAAGAGAGTGGGGGTGGGTAGCTAGCTAGCAAGCATACCTGGTTTTTCGCCTCTTCCTTTACTGAGATCGCTTCCAGCTTCTCTAGTCCCTTGGAACACCATTACCATGTAAGCACCTCCAGCCAGTCACCAAAGTTCTATAGCCACCGGCAAAAGGGTTTGTTTACAAGTTTGTTTTTTGGGGAGTGTGCAGTTTAGTCCATGATGCTGGAAATCTGCCAAGATGACAGTTGAAGTAAAATTTTCAGCAGTAGCAGAAACCAGAATCAGATTTTTATGTCTATTAAAAAAAAAAAACAGGAAAAAATAGACATAGTGTGTTTTCGCGTTGGATTCAGAACGATGTATTCCAGATTCCTATTCATTCTTTAAACTTGATCTTGGGATGGCCAGGGATAAGTGGAGAGAGGGAAAGGGAGAGAGAAAGAGAGAGGGGGGGAGAGAGAGACAGAGAGATGGAGAGAGAGAGACAGAGAGACAGAGAGACAGAGACAGAGACAGAGACAGAGACAGAGACAGAGAGAGAGAAAGATGCTGCCAGATGAAACTTTGCTGAAAGAAATTTCAAATGGCAGAAAGTTCAGCATAGGAGGATTAGGAGTAGCAGGGTTTAACTGGGTGCTTCTTTACCGATGGTGACTAGTGTTGTGCAACATACTGCTTGAAAGCAGGGTGCTTTCTTAGCACAGGAAAGCTGATTTTACTGGTAATCACTCCAAGGCCACCATTCACAAGTTGCTGGTATCATCTGGAGTACTTGCCAGCTAGAGTACGTGAGGGAAAGCATCCTCAGGTGTCACTAACAGAGATGGCCATTTGGTGCATTTTTGATTAGTACAGCTATATTTTTACATCTTTGGAGGTTATGAGTATGTACTGCTCTCCCTCTGTTTCTTCCCTTGACCCATTTTTAACAGTAACATTTACTTTATTTTGAAAATTAGTCAAATGACTAAGTAGGTCAGTGGTTGTCCAAAGGGGAAATCATAAAAGATCAACAACTTTGGAGGTAGAGTGAGATAGTAGGGGGTCTGAAAAGGAGCTGTAAAACCCAAGAAGCTGCTGAGGTGCTTTCAAAGGGAAGTTATTGTCACATAGTAGGTTGGCTGAGTCATAACATCTGGAGTACAGAGAAGTTTTTATTGTATAGGATGAATAAGTGCCCTTATCCTAATAAGACACTCAATAATAAGCCCTGTGATGGAGGAATAAGGAAATATTGAGTATGTTTTCCTTCTAAGTGGTATGATAAATGCACGGAGCATTCCAGTTGTAAAACATCTCCTATCTTTCAAATAGATTTTAAAGGCATACCATATTTCTTTAAGAAACCAGCCCTTATCACATCACATATGGGGTGGTGGTGGGAGAAGCCAGAAAGGCATCAAGGTAATTTATGTCTTTTTAAAGACTATTTTGGGAAGGAGGGTGATCCTGGCCAGTAAGTTCACTATTATAGGGATCTCCCAGTGTGGAAACTACCTCTGTCCTTTAATGATATACAACTCCTTCTATAGTTTATAAATCTTGAAGAATCACCTGGTGCATTTACATATTGAATGAGTTCCTGTATTCATACAACTGGTCTGCATCAGAAATAGAACTCAAACCCAGGACTTTCAGACTTCAAAGCCAGCCCTTTTGACCACGTCGGTCGCCTCTCTCTTTAAAAGATTTAAGCTTTTAAAATGAGAATTTTGCTAGCTATACATTGCTATAGAATAGCTCTGTTATGACCAAATAAATATTTCCCAGAAACTGTTTTACATCAGAATGAAATGTTTAGATTTCTCCTGGAATAATTTGTCACATAATTTTTTTAGTCAAATGCTTTTCAAATAATAACAGTTAAAAGATCAAATGTTTCTGTGTTTTCTCCTGCTGGTTTCTAGTATAGTGTTGTACATATTTTCTTTCTACTTCCCTTTTACCTGTTTCCTCAAAGTCTGAATTAACTTGGTTGAAAGTTTTACTGAGTACACATGGTTCAGAGCTATGCTCCAATAGAAATGCAGGAGTTCCCAAGTCCTCTCTCTGCTTCCAGAAATACCAAAACAATTCTAATTCTAAGTAGTATGTTAATGAAAATTGTTAGTGTTCTTCATCCTCCTACCCTGATGCTATAGTAAATATCATTTCTTGGATATGTACATGGAGGGCATAGAAAATCAAGTCCCCCCCACCCCAATTCCTCCAACTATGTTGTCAGTACTACACACACACACACACACAAAACACACACTTTCATTACTATGGTTACTAGTTTTTTTTTTAACAGACCAATATTGTTTCAGCTGTGGATAGTTTTCATTTTTACAATTTTATCATTATGAATGGAAGTAAATTGGCATTCTAAAAATCTCATTTGTCTGAAAGGATACAGATACAGAGCCTGAGTTTTCATTTAGTTAATGATGAATTGTTCTATAGTTATCCCAAACTTTTGCATAATCAGCTAACTAAAACCAAATTGGCACTTAAGTGCAAATAATTTAAAATACTTGTAAAATATGATAGTATTATATATTTAAAGTCTTAATGCACATTAGTATAATCTTCTGCCCAGAGACATCTGGTGATATAAACCTGTGGCACTAAGTAGGGTGAAGATAATAAAATTAGATTCCCCTTTTTAAGCTTACCCCCTACCCCACCCCTTCCACCCGAGTTGGCAGATCAGTGGTCTGAGCCCCTATTTGATAAAAAAAGAGACAATATTATCATAGCCTGCAGATCTGAAAGGGAGAAGTTGAGAAAAATAGCCCATAAAGCTCTGAGATTCTACTTGTGCTTCTCCTTGTGAGTATAATATTCACTTACTTGAGGAGGTGAAAAATCACCTCTTTTAGGCAATCTGCTTGACTTCCTAGAAGAGACAACTTGTCATTTGTGAATAATGTTAAGTGAAATAGTTTCTCTTAGAATTAAAATGTTTTCATCTTCAAGCAAAGTAGTTCTTTCAGACAGACTACATACCTACTTGAAAGACAATTTTTTCCCCAAGTAGATAAACAGTAATCTTACAAGGTGTATTGTACCTGCGTTATGTAGCTAGGCACAGTGAGTGTGGAGTCAGGAAGACCTGAGTTCAAATCTAACCTTAGACACTCACTTGCAGTGTGATTCTGGGCACATCATGTAACCATTTTGCCTCAGTATCCTCAACTGTAAAATGGGGATAATAATAGCACTTACCTCCCAGGATTGTTATGAGGATAAAATGAGATAATATTTGTAAAGTGCTTATTAGCACAGTGCCTGGCACATAGTAATCATTTAATAAATGCTTATTCACTTCCCTTCTGGTTTCCTTTGCCTTAATGTGCCATGTGGGGACATGCTTCTTAGAAGTAGGCAAAAGTATTCGTTTACCTGAGGCAATTGCCTCTTCTAGGGGGCCAGATGGTGAGCAGGCCCATGTTAAAAGTAGGGTACCTTTATTTAGATCCAGATGGTCCATCTGAAACAGGAAATCTACCCAAGGCAACTGAATATTTCACCCTCTTTCAAATTAGAGAATGTTCTCTAGTGTCAGACTTCAGTTGTGCCTGTAATATGCCTAACAAAACACTTGGAAACAGGTAAAAAATCCACTAAATATATGTTTGATTTGTTTTCAGTATTCCAAAGCACCTAGTTATCAAGGAAAAAAATTCTGTTCTTAAATTAGTTTTTTCCTGTATTAGTGATTCTGAAAGTGGGGTCTAGGAATATTTGGTGGTCTTCAGGGATCTTCCAAGTGACCTCGAGAACATCTTTCTTATGGTAGGTGAACCGGTCTTTTGTAAACTCAATATCCAGTATCTAACACTTTATATTTTCTAGTAAAAGTGAGTAATTTTTTGTGTGTGTATGTGTTGCGGTCTGGACTTGTGATGTAGGGAACAATAGTGTGGAAACTATACCAGTGCAAATTGGCAATTTCTTCTCAATTTATAGTTTTAAACTTATATATAGACTTTTTAAAAGAGGCAATTGGGGTTAAATGACTTGCCCAGGGTTCACATAGCTGCTAAGTGTCTGAGGATGGATTTGAATTCAGGTTTCCCTGACTTCAGGGCTGGTGCTCTATCCACTGTGCCACCTAGCTGTCCCTTAAACTTAAAGTCTTAAAGAGCTGTGTTGATCAGTGAAAGGTTAAGTGAATTGCTTTGTCACACTGCTAGTATATATTAGGAGCAGGACTTAGTCCCAGATCCCTTGATTTTTGACTTCATAGTTGACCCCTTGTCCTCTATGTATGCTGCTTCTTTAATTATGCTATTTTATAAAAACCAGAAAGTCAGCTCATTGGTTTCTCATCAAAAACATTACTACCTTTTGCACTCATTCTGAATGGCTTTGTTTTGTAGAAGTAAGTGGGAATGAATGGTTCCATGTCTTTTGCCCTTGGACTAAAAATATTTGAGAATCACTGATTTGCCTAATACCCAACTGTCTTTTCTGATTTGGCCACAGAATTAGTTTGATGATTTGTGTTTGTGCATACATACAGCCATAATGATCATATTAAATACATTGTTGGATTTGAATCTCAGATCAAATGAAACAAGTGATTATTTCCTCTCCCTTCTCCCTCCCCCTAGCATACCTGATTCACCTGGGCTCTCTCTTGCCCTAGTTGCTACAAGATAGAGTCCTAAATGATAATGCTAGATGGATATGTTTTTCCCCCCTG